CCAGAACACATGGGCAACCAGCTTGAAAGGCAGAGACAACAGCACAGGGGTGGAGGATAGGCAGGCAGATCTGGTGTTCATGGAGAGCCTGCTTAAAGCCAGCTCCTCTGGGGCACTGGCTCCCACTCACTGCCTCAGCATGTAGTTGACAAGATTAACTGATAAGCCTAGGCTTATCAGTGAATCGTATAGTCAATTACACATTGACATCCCAATTGTGGTGACAGATTGATATCAACCAGTACATACCCAAGATCTTAGGACAACTTAAATTAGTGTACAGATTTTAAATGCTCTGGCAGTAGTAGGCTTTCACTAAAAGCAGCTGTATGAGACATGGAGTCAGCATCCAGTCAGCAATGATTTTATATTCAAGATACAAAGGACTTACGACATTAATACTATTAGGGGAAAAAAAGCATTTCCTGTCAGTCAGCAAAAATAAGTTTTAGACTGCTTTGTTCTATTCAAACATGAATCTAATCCCACTTATCTGTCCTGTAAGACCCCAAAACTAAAAGAGTCAAGTCTTGGGCTGGAGCTAACAACAAGCCCTATCTACATCATAAGTAGGTCAGTGAACCTAAGAGATGAGGCAAAAGAAGGCTATGAAATATGGGTAAGGTCCAATTTACATTACAAGTTGGAGCGATGTGTGTAACCAAGTTCCTTGACATATTTGCGGTCTAATATGTTGGGTGTAAACTTTGATAATGCAAGTGGTAGGAATAAGAGGTAACAACATTATTGTAATTCCTGTGCCACAGTTCCCATATTATGTCTGTAGTCAGTTTTATGAGGTGGACAAGGAGATGTTCTAGTGATTTGTTACTCAAAGCTAGCATAAAAACCGCAAGCGTTGTATAGAGGAAATATTTGACTTGCTGTGGTGAAAACAAAATATACACCACAGATACACCTATGTTAGATACAAGTATTAAAATTTGTTAAAAAATAATTAATGAATAGCAAGAACAGTACTTCCATACTTATATAATACTATTACTCATTAGGAGTTCAACTATGTTAGACTGTAGCGCCATCAACAAAATATTCATATTGATGCAAAAATAAATTGACGCTTGCATCTTTTAGAGCATGCATTTCTCAGAAGTTACATGAAATAGTAATAGTTATGCCCCACTCACTTTTAATTAAGGCAACGTCTAGACTACATCCCTCTGTTGGCAGAGGGATGTAAATGAAGTACTTTGAAAGTGCAAATGAAGCCAGGATTTAAATATCCCACGCTTCATTTTTATAATCACATAATGGCGTGACTGAGGTTTACAGGATCTTTCGAAAAAGCACCCTGTTTTCGAAAGAACCGCGTCTAGACTATGGTTTCAATTTCAAAATAGCACTTTTTTGAAACAGCGCCATTACATGATTATGCAAATGAAGTGCAGGATATTTAAATTTGCACTTTTGAAGTTTTTCATTTGCACCCCTCTCGCAACAGAGGGATGTAGTCTAGATGTAGCTTAAGAGAAGTTTATCTGGTTGGCTAAAATACAAAATGTTAGAACTTCAAAATTCCATAATTAAGTAGTAGATTCAGCTTGGCTTACAAATGGTTACTTTCAAATCACTGCATTCAACATGTACACATTCTGTTTGGTACCACATACCCTTTTTGCCTACATCTGAGGTTGAATCTTGCCACAAGTATAAGGTAACAACTATGAAAAAGAACAATTGTGTGTATCTCCAACACAGCTTTTCTACAGCTTATTAGGTACAAAATCTACTTTACTTGCCCTTCACCACAACAATACTGAAAAACATCTATTTTATTTCACTGGGGACTTCACTCCAGCAAGAAATTTTGCAGAACTTACATAACTCATCATTATGAGGTATAACAACTGTAAAATTAAGGCATCCATGCCACACGAGTCTATTTCAAATTTACATTACAAAGCAATCAGAAAGAAACAGTACACAGTTTCATATGGTCGTCAGACTTTACCATTTGAGAAAACCATTTCAAGAGCTAGAGCTCTTTTGTTTTAGCATGTGTAACTCATTATGATATTGAAATGTGTCAAGACACTAAAGAATTGAGGAAGCAACCAGGGCTATAGGACCAAGTAGGTTCCCCACCCTTGTTCTTTTTTGGGTCAGTGGCCAGTGATCCATAGAAAAAAATCAGGTCAGGGGCTGCACACAAGTGAGAAAAACAATTAAAAAAAAAAAAAACACCCCTCACCAGATTGGGCTCCTCAATGATGGGGGAAGCCCCAAGCCTCAGGGCCCCAAGCTCCAGATCCAGGCAAGCCAGGGGCTGCATCCAACCCCCGGACCTTAAGTTCCCCACTCGAAAACAGTGCCCCCAGTTCTCCCAGCACTCTAACAGGCTTGCCAGGAAATCTTCAGCAAATCACTTAACCCCATGTTTATTTTCCCCATATGTAAGATGGTTTTCACCACCTTTACTGCAACACTGTAAAAATTAGTAGTTGCACAGCACTATTGTATATGAGCAGTAAGTATTTACTGAGATTCTCAAATGAAAGGATTCCTAAGTTGCATATAAGCCTCACACTTCTCAACAATACAATTAAGAAAGTGTATATACCTCGACAAGCTACAGGATACTGTCTAGGTTCAGACGTGGCAATAACCTGAACATTGCCCCCTATAAACGTAGCGAAGTCAAAGAGCTAGAACAAGAACATATGACGTATAGGAAACGTAAGGGGGAGGAGTGAAGACTAAGCAGACACTTCGAGCGTTTATAGAAGATTCACTCACCTTTCAGATACTCGCACACAATATAGCGCTTATCACTGGTAAACAAACATAAGTAGGAGTTAAGTGACGCGGCTAAGCAAAGTGTGTAGAGTTTGATTCTACATGGTTGCAGATTCATAGAAACAAGGCACAGAGGGATCTCCATGCACACGCTACTTACCAGTAAGCAGTCACAGTTCACTTCAGATTTGGGATCCCTTAACATTACATCGATTTTTTCAAACCGAGACTCAAAGTTTTCTCCTGTCGACATGTTTTCGAGGATAAAGTTTTCCTTATTTCAGAACAAAGTAAGTTAAACCACCAGGCTGCGATTCTTCCTGAGTATCGCCTAGATCGGAGAAGTCAGGACGGGAGGGGGGGGGGAGGAAAGTCCTCACACGCCCCCCAAGATTTAGAGCCGAGGGTGGGGCAGGAAGAGCTGCTTCCCCCCTAACGCGCACACACGCGTTTCTAGGCTGTGATCACAACCCTGCAGGCTTCCTTGCTCCACCTCTGTCTCACCAGCCGCATTTCGCCAGCCAGGCGGCCGCCCTCGGAGCCAGCGGAGCGGTTCCTCCTCTCGCGGCTGCCGCTGCTCGGCGCCAGCTCCCGAAGAGCAGTTTTCTTTTGAAGCGAAAACCACCATGAAAACAGGAAACTCCTCAGCGCCTCGGAGCTACTCCCTCCATGGAGCCCCTGGGGCGGGGGTGCGGAGAAAGGCGCTGCCCCCGCCCTGTGCCCAGGCTGCTCCGGGCAGCGGGGGTGCCAGCTGCGCAGGCCTCCCTGGCCCCCACTTCCGGGGGAGCAGGCGGCCTCTCTAGAGCGCGGCGACAGCCCTCGGGCACGAGCGGCTTTAGGGGGGGGGCGGCGGGCTACCGCCATCCCCCCGCGCCCCTCCTGACCGGCCCCGCAGGGACTCGCCGCCCGCTTCAGTCCCCGGCCGGGAGCCGCGCTTCAACTCGCCGCAACTTCCAGCCCCGGCTCCTGGCCCATCTCTGTCCCCCAGGGGCCCGTCGGAGGAAGCCGCTTCTCCGGCAGAAGGAACCGAGCGACGCAAGGTCCAGGGGCAGCCGCCTCAGTAAGCGAGGGGGAGACTCAAAAATATGTCCGCCTTCCGCTTAAACCGAAGGGCCTGGAACCAGGGCGCATGCGCCAGTGAGTGGGGGGGAGGAGGGGAGAGGGAGGAAGCGGTGCAGAGACCAAAAAGCTCGCGCTTCCCCCAAGCCCACCGCTTAACTGCCGCCGAGCACGCGCGAGGGTCCAGGGGCAGCCGCCTCAGTAAGCGAGGGGGAGACTCAAAAATATGTCCGCCTTCCGCTTAAACCGAAGGGCCTGGAACCAGGGCGCATGCGCCAGTGAGTGGGGGGGAGGAGGGGAGAGGGAGGAAGCGGTGCAGAGACCAAAAAGCTCGCGCTTCCCCCAAGCCCACCGCTTAACTGCCGCCGAGCACGCGCGAGCGAATTTCCTGCCCACGCACGAACTGACGTGACGGGTGGAAGCGCGCGCCCGCTACCCGGATGGATGCCCACGAGCCGCCGGCAGCGTTCGCCGCTGGTGCGCGAGCGATTTCTCGTGGGCCAGTCAGCGCTAGTGGAACGTTGAGGTGGCAGGAGGTGAGAAGCTGCAAGGGAGTCGCAGGGTTGTGGTATGTCCTGCTCCAGCCTCTCTCCCCGTCTTTCCAAGCTGCCGGAAACTAGAGACCGGGGTGAGCTTCAGGATAGGGACCGTTCTGCGGCAGGGGTTGTCTATTGCATAAGGAAGTTAAGTGCAGTTGCAGAAAAAGGAGCAACGGCACTAGTTGAATGGGAAACTGAAGCTGGCGAAGTCTGCGCTTTCAATATTGTAGACCGCTTCAGAGTTGTTCCCCATAAAATGTGCTGATGTCACTTTTAAAAGGATGTTGCTGTTTTGCAAGGGTGCTCTCACACACTATGCTTTCAGAGCTCCTCTACCAATTATGTTGATTAGAGAGGTACAATTCTTGGTATAGCCTTGCACCATCCGGAGTCAAGAAACTGAGACTTTGTGATCTTTCCACTCCCGACTCTCCAGTTTCAAGTTTACCGTACACTGCAAGCAGAAAAAGTAGTTGCATAAAACAGCAACATATCCAGGACACGTAGACTGGGAGTGGACATTTGGCCGCCGGGATGGAGTGTCTCTGGTGCAAAGTCTGCTTCCCTGCACACAATCCATACTACAGGAGGCTCTGAGATGCGATATTCTGCCATATACAATCAGCCAAGACCCACACGTGGAACAGAGACTGACAAAGTAAAAATAATACATCAGAAGTTAAAAAAACCATGGTATTGAACACTTCACCTCTACAGTATTTCTTGAATTGCTGCTTCATTTTTACAAAGTAAAGTATCTATGAACAAATATTTATTTGTAATTCCAACAAGGATCATCACTTTTTAATTATTACTCAAATGGTATAGATTCGTTACATATCAAGAAGTTCCTGTGCAGATTCAGTTCCTTGCCTTCTGTTGCAGTTGCAAACTGTGTTATATAAAACTTGTTTTGGATTGCATTGGAATGGGTTACCTAGGGAAGTAGTGGAGTCTCCATCCCTAGAGGTGTTTAAGTCTCGGCTTGACAAAGCCCTGGCCGGGTTGATTTAGATGGGATTGGTCCTGCCTAGAGCGGGGGGCTGGACTTGACGACCTTCTGAGGTCTCTTCCAGTTCTATGATTCTATGATAAGGGGATGGTTGGATGAAATAACATGATCTTGGTAACTAATTGACCATTCATTATCAGTTGGAAATAGGTCAATGGAGGGATGATAGGAGTTGCTATAGGGAACTTTCTGGGTGTCTGGCTGGTGAGTCTTGCCCACATGCTCAGGGTTTAGCTGATCGCCATATTTGGGGTCAGGAAGGAATTTTCCTCCAGGGTAGATTGGCAGAGGCCCTGGAGGTTTTTCGCCTTCCTCTGTAGCATTGGGCACAGATCACAGCTGAAGGACTCTCTGCATGTTGGGGCCTTCAAAGTATTTGAAGGCTTCAATATCTGAGACATAGGTGAGAGGATTATTCTAAGAGGGGTGGGCGAGATTCTGTGGCCTGCACTGTGCAGGGAGTCAGACTAGATGATCATAATGGTCCCTTCTGACCTTAAAGTCTATGAAGACTACTAGTCATTAGAAAAGCAAAAGTTTAATGATGTGATATTCTCTATGAAGTGTAGAAGCAGGTCATTTATTTTTTAATTCTTAGCCATAACTATATATCTCCAATAATAAAAATAAATTATACAAAGTTATTGTTGAAGTACACATACTCTGGAACACTTGCTGGCTGCTACCACAAAACCTTGAATTGTTGATTGTTCTTTGAAATAGCAGTGTTCTGTTTGAACAACCTCCATCCACAGAGAACATATCATATACAAGACAAGGCTTATTATATGTGTATATTTGTGCAAAGGTTTTGTATGTGATGCAGCAAGTAATCTGTTTAAAATACAGCTAAAATAATCTTTAGAGCCATAATAGTTTTTAAAAATTGCAGTTAAAGGATACATTTAAATAAAACTGAGAGAGACAGATTCCGCTACAAAAGCAGCAGAAAGAAGAGAAATTGTACAGCAGACACCAAGGGCATAGAGCCATTAGGTCGAGCACGCTGGAGACACATTAGTAACCTAAATAATGTATTAAGTCCCACTCTGAAAAGAGACACTTATTCATACATGTGTAACTTCATTGAAGCTACTTGTATATATAGAATTGTGCATGTATAGAATTAAGTGCATGTATGCAGCACTGGAGCCTTAGCTATTCCACAGGTCTGTAACAGGGTCAGCCATCTCCTAAGCACCCGTCCATAGCCAGTGGTGGCACTTATAGCATCCTGCCTCTTATTTTCTGTCTTTGGGGCCACTTCAAAACATCACACTCTTTTTCATGACTAATGTTACCCTTGCTTGGGACTGGTTTAATAACAGAAACAGTTCAAAAGTATCCCTAAGGTTCCAAACTAAAGTCCAATGTTACAACATAAAAATTCATACTCAGCTAATGGTGACAAATGGGAAGGACAAGAAAGGTCACGTGCCCTTCCCCACATGTGTGGTGGGAGCACATTCAGCAGGGACCTCAGTGGCAAAAAGAACGGAACAAGAGACAGCTGGGCAATCCCATGCTGGCAGTTCCTCTGGCGTATACCACCCCGCTCCTTTCACACAGCCACATCTGCTGAGGTCTGTACAGCCATGCAGGAAGATAGGGCTGGAGGCAGGGCTGGGGGAAATACCAATACAGACACAATGGAGGAAGTGTCTTCTTGGGCCATGGACTCCTTTTGCTGCTGCAGTTAAGAAATCAGTATCCAGTGTGGATCATAGAACACTAGAACTGGAAGGGACTTTGAGAGGTCATTGAGTCCAGTCCCCTGCCCTCAGGGCAGGACCAAGCACCATTCTAGATCATCCCTGATAGAGGCCTATCCAACCTGTTCTTATAGTTAGGAAGTTTTTCCCAGCGTGTTTTTTTGTTTTGTTTTTTTTTGTGCCAGTATGTACTGTCATCTTTTTTTGAGAGCACTCGCCGCTTTTCTACAGCACAGCCCCCAGCTGACCTGGGGAACACTCACGCCATGCCGTGCCAGATGGAAGCCTGCTCAGGACACACGGCAATTAAAGGGGCTTCCTTTAAAAAGGATCTCCCTGATGCTTTTCTTTTCTTTTCTTTTTTTTTTTTTTTTTTTGACCAAACCCTAGTACTGACACCTTTTTTATATATATATATAAAAAGCACTGGTTTTTCCTAATTCCCAACCTAAACCTCCCCTGCCCATTGCTTCTTGTCCTGTTCTCAGAGGCCAAGGACGATAATTTTTCTCCTTGTGACACCCTTTTGGATACTTGAAAACCTCTACCATGTCCCCTCTCAGTCTTCTGCTTTCCAAACTAAACAAGCCCAATTCTTTCAGCCTTCCCTCATAGGTCATGTTCTCTAGACCTTTAATCATTCTTGTTGCTCTTCTCTGGACCTTTTCCAATTTCTCCACATCTTTCTTGAAATGTGGTGCCCAGAACTGGACACAATACTCTAACTGAGCTCTAATCAGTGAAGAGTAGAGCGGAAGAATGACTTCTCGTGTCTTGCTCACAACACTCCCGTTAATGCATCCCAGAATCATATTTGCTTTTTTTGCAACAGCGTCACACATTTTGAATTATGACCCTATCCTCCAAAGCAGTTACAACCCCTCCCAGCTTGGTATCATCTGCAAACTTAATAAATGTACTCTCTATGCCGATATCTAAATCATTGATGAAGATATTGAACAGAACCGGTCCCAAAACCCTGTGGAACCAGATTTGTTATGCCCTTCTAGCATGACTGTCAACCATTAATAACTACTCTCTGAAAATGGGTATCCAGACAGTTATGCCTTCCCGCCCCTTTACAGTAGCCCCATCTAAGTTGTATTTGCCTAGTTTATTAATAACAAGATAATGAGAGACCATATCAACTGCCTTCCTAAAGTCTAGGTATACCACGCCCACTGCTTCTTCCTTATCCACAAGACTTGCTATCCTATCAAAGAAAGTCATCAATAGCTTGTCATGATTTGGTCTTTACAAATCCATGCTGGCTGTTACCTATCACCTTATTTTCTTCCAGATGTTTGCAGATTAATTCCTTAATTACTTGCTCCATTATCTTTCCTGGCACAGAAGTTAAACTGACTGGTCTGTAGTTTCCTGGCTTGTTCTTATTGCCCTTTTTATAGATGGGTACTATATCAGTCTTCTGGAATTTCTCCCATCTTCCATGATTTTTCAAAGATGATAGCTAAAGGCTCAGATACCTCCTTTATCAGGTCCTTGAGTATTCTAGGATGCATTT